AACCCGGACGTCAGTCAAGTGCTCGAAGACAAGACCAAACGTATCGCTCAACTCAAGAGGAGATTAACTCTCATTCACTCTATCGTTCAGAACTGCAACCAAAGGGTCGCCAAACTCTTCACCACTTCGGCAGCCATTCAGTCGACCAGTCATTGAGCCACTCATCGGATCCCAAGACATGACAAAACAGCAGATGAAGAGTCCAATTGAGGCCATCGTTGAGTATATGAAGACATTTGTGGAGCAATTGGTGGCAAAAGAGGACTCTATTGATGTCATAATCACTGAATGCTTGCAATCAATGGTCGCATCCGTTGACCACAAGTGCCATGAATTGAGTGATGAGTCGACGGATGGCATCAAAAGTGGCGACAATTTAGGCGTCGATGACATCGATATGAGTGAAGACTTTTGGGACGAATTAGACGACGATTTTGACATCAATTTCAGTGATAATGACATGAAATCGAGTCCTCGAGAGTTGACCACAACTTCAGACGAGAAGCGATTGGATTTCAATCAGAAGTTCTCGTTATTGTTGTCTGAATTGATGGCCAAACCCTCGACAGACACCTCTCGTGTGGACGTCTCAGTGATGGCCACAAGACTTGTCTCACAATTGGATTCAATTAAGTATTGATTGCGAAGTGTTTTGTGTTTTGATTGCATTTTGTATTAATTCAGTGTTTTTTGTGTCAAAAGTGATGCCATTCTTGGACTCATCCATCGATTGAGACAAATGTCGGATCCGATGAAGAAATAAGTCATTTAAATGTCTTTCTATTGAATACTGTTTTATAATTTGTATTAAATTTTATGATAAATAATAGATTTTTAATTAAATTTAATTATAATTATAAATAAATACTTTAATAAACACTTGAATATAATTCACGAAATGTTTAATTTAATTAAAACTATGAAATATAAACTCATTTCCTATGACTTGAGTCCATACTATTCCCAAACTCTAATGAAAGACCAGTTCCACAGATGGAGATAATCACCACAAGAGATGTTAATATAGTTTTAGACAAAACTTTTGGTTGAGATTTAATTTAGGATTCATTTGTGTCCCGAAACTGATGCCATGTTTTTGACATTTGCCTTCAAATCNTTAATATAGTTTTAGACAAAACTTTTGGTTGAGATTTAATTTAGGATTCATTTGTGTCCCGAAACTGATGCCATGTTTTTGACATTTGCCTTCAAATCTAATTATAAAGTAATTCGCGATTTGTTTGCATAGAAAGTGATGTCTGTATTGAAAATATAGTATGAGTTTTAAGTAATTGGAAAATTTTCAACTTTATGGCGCGCGCTTAAGACTTAATTGTTGGGATTAATCTATGCGTCCATTTGTAGGCCTGTTATCACTGATTATGAATATCATATGATTTACAGTATTTGATTATCCTTAAAAATATTATAGCACCTGGAGTA